ATTAATCACATCTTTGCACTACTTGATTGGAACTCCCATGACTTTAATCAGCTTGCTATGTATTTAGCATGTTCTACCTTAAACAACCCAGCTCTCTTTCCCAGGGCAGGCTATCTTTTTCCTAATACTGTTTTTTTAGAACTACAGTTTTTCTGTTTAAGTTCTTTTACTCTCTCCACTTTCTAAATGTAGTTGTTTTATGTCTATTTATGTTGAACACTGTATCATATGGTATTATATCTTTTGTTTCAGCAATGAAGTATGATTAACGAAACTGACAAGTTCAAGGATAGTCTATAATGTCTGCTCCAATGTTTTATCCTTTATCTTTTATTCTTCTTTTTTCCTGAGAATATATGCATTTTTGTTGTTGGCATTTTATTTTTGTTTTGAAAGTTTCCTTTAGCCATTCTTCAAGAGAAGTTCTGCTAGCAACAAATTCTGTTAATTTTCCTTTATTTAAGAATGTCTATTTCTTCCTAATTCCTGAAGAATCCTTTCACTGATAAAGGATTTAATGTTTACAGCTCTTCTCTTTCAGCATTTAAAAATGTCATGCCTCTTCCTCTGGCCTCTAGAGTTTCTGATGAGGAATCCACTTAATTCAAATTCATCTTCCTTTATGCATAATGAATCATTTATCCCTGGCCTTTTATAAGTTTTTCCTTGGTCGTTAGTTTTAAAATGTTTAATTGTGATGTGCCTAAGTGTGAATTATTTCAGGTTTATTATGTTTATGGTTTGCTAAGCTTCTTGAATTTGTAGATTTACATCTTTTACAAAATTCTGTACATTTTTATCCATTACTTTTCTTTTACTACTTTTTCAGTCTCACACTCTTCTCCTTTTCTTCCTGGACTCTGATTATGCCAGGGCTAGATGTCTTGTTACTACTCTATGTATTACTGTGGATCGTTCATTTTTAAAACCCTATCTTCTTTCTGCTGTTCGGATTGAGTAAATCCTATACATTTGTGTTCAGGCCTACTGATTATATTATCTGTCATCTCCACTCTACTGTTGAGACCATGTATTTACTTGGGAGACATAAACATTGTAAAATTCTACATGAAAAGAGAAAGGCCATATAATATTCAAAACAATTTTGAAAAAGATGAATAAAGTATAAATAATCTCTCTTCCTGGTGTTACTGCCTATTATATGGTGGTAGAAATCAAGGTGGTGTGGAGCTGGCAAAGGAATAAATACATAAATGAATAAAAAGAAAAGGACACCTAGAAATAGATTCACACAAATATGCCCAGTTAATTTCTGGCAAAGTAGCAAAAGGAATTAAATGGAGAAGGAATAACTTTTTCAATAAATGATCCTAGAGCAATTAGACCACTGTCAAAAGAAGGAAGGGAGGAAGGAAGGAAGGAAGGCAGAAAGGAAGGAAGGAAAGGAAGAAAGGAAGGAAGGAAAAAAGGAAGGAAGAGAGAGAGCAGGCCTGTATCTAAACTTCACACCTCATATAAAAATTAATTAAAATGGATTACAGACTTAAATAGAAAACATAAAACTGTACAATTTTTAGAAGAAACACAAGTGAAAGTCTTTGGGATGAGGAATAGATAAATATTTTTTAGACCTGACACCCAAATCTTGATCTATAAGACAAAAAAAATGATAAACTGGACCTCATCAAATTGAAAACATCTACTCTGTAAGATTAAAAAAAGCATTACAAAGTTTAAAAAACAAATTACAGAATAGAAGACAATATTTACAAATCACATATCTAATAAGGTCTTGTATCCCAAATATATAAAAAAAACTCTCAAAAGTCAACATTAAATAAACAATCAAATTAGAAATAAGCAAAATACATTAATAGACATTTCATCAGAGAGGATATACACATAGCAAATATAGGAAAAATGTTCAAAATCTTTAGCCATCAGAGAGGTAAAATTAAAACCATAATGAGATATTACTATCCAGAATCGCTAAAAATGGAAAATAGTGATAACACCAAATACTGATGAAGATGTAGAGAAACTGAATTGTTCATACATTGCTGATGGGAATGTAAAATGGTACGGTCACTGTGGAAAACAGTTTGGTAGTTTTTTTTAAAAGTAAATATAAATTTACTATAGAACCTAGCCAATGCATTCCTAAAAATTTATTCCACATAACCGAAGACTTATCTTCATACAAAAATCTGTACATGAATGTTCGTAACCCCTGTACTTGCATTATCAGAGAACTGAAAACAACCCAGACATTCTTTGATGGATAAATTGTTAAACTGTGGCACCTCTGTAGCATAAAATACTACCCAGCAATAAAAAGAAATAAACTATTTATACACACAACCAACTTGGATAAACCTTGAAGAAATTATACTGAATGATAATAGCCAACCTCAAAAGGATAGCTACTGTATGATTTAGTTTATGTAGCAGTCTTAATCTAATTATAGAGATGGAGAACAAATTAGTGGTTGCCACGGGTTAGGGATGGAGGCAAGGAGATGGGTGTGACTATAAAGAAATAATTAGATAGAATCTTGTGGTGATGGTACAGTGGAGTGTCTTGATTGTGGTGGTGGGTACACAGGCTACACATGATAAAATTGCATAGAGCTACACACACACATGAGTACATGTATAACTATTGAAAACTGAACTAGCAGTATGAGTGTACAATGTTAATTTCTTAGTTTTGATATTGTAATACAGTTGTATAAAATGTTAACTTTGGAGAAGGCTAGGGGAAGAGTGCAATAGATTTCCCTGTACCTCCTTCACAACTGCCTGTGAATTTATAATTATTTCAAAATAGAAAGTTCAGCAAAATTAAAAATCTTTTGTTTATCAGGAGCTAAGACAAAGTGAAAAGTTAAGTCACAGAATGGGAGAAGGTATTTAATATATTCAACAAATAATGAATGACCAAAATGTATAAAGAATTCCTACAACTCAATAATAAAAAGGCACACTAATTTTTTTTTTTTTTTTTTTGAGACGGAGTCTCGCTCTGTCACCCAGGCTGGAGTGCAGTGGCAGGATTCAGTGGCCTCCCGGGTTCATGCCGTTCTCCTGCCTCAGCCTCCGGAGTAGCTGGGACTACAGGTGCCCGCCACCACGCCTGGCTAATTTTTTGTATTTTTAGTAGAGATGGGGTTTCACCGTGTTAGCCAGGATGGTCTCGATCTCCTGATCTCATGATCCGCCCGCCTCGGCCTCCCAAAGTGCAGCACACTAATTTTTTAAGTGAGCAAAGGATGAGAACAGACAACTTCAAAAGAGAAAATTGACACACGTGAAAACTGACTAAAAATCACTGGAATCAAAGAAATGCAACTTTACACAATAGTGAGATATTAATTTGCATCTAGCATACAGAAAACTTAGTCTTTCAATACCAAGTGTGGGTTAGCTTGTAAGGTAGTTTCTGCCTAGAAATAGAAAAGCCCGATTTTTCTTTTTTTTTTGAGAGGGAGTCTTGCTCTGTCGCCCAGGCTGGAGTGCAGTGGCGCGATTTCTGCTCACTGCAACCTCCGCCTCCAGGGTTCAAGTGATTCTCCCACCTCAGCCTCCTGAGTAGCTGAGATTACATGTGCGCGCCACCACACCCGGCTAATTTTCTGTGTAGTTTTAGTAGAGATGGGGTTTCGTCGTGTTGGTAAGGGTGGTCTTGAATTCCTGACCTCCTGATCCGCCTGCCTCAGCCTCCCAAAGTGCTGGGATTACAGGTGTGAGCCACCCCGCCCGGCCTGATTTTCCTAATTCTATCTTAGTTTATAGAACCTGAGTCTCGCTACACAATGCATGATAATTATTTTTAATCAAATAGTAAATAATTACGCAACTATATACACTTGGAATGAATTGGATACATAATTTAAATTCTGCTTAACAAATTCTCAGTCACCAAAGGTTACATTTACAATATATCCAAATACATAGTGGATGCATTTTTTCTTTTTCTAATACAAGCTAATAAGTTTTAGCAGTTGAACAGTAGAAAATTAAAATATTTTCATTGCACTCCTACGTGTTGGCTGAGTTATAATGATAAACAGTAAGAAAAAGAAACAGAATTAGATTTAATAGAAGCACCTAAAAGATTAGATATTTATTCAGGAAAAACCAGAAGTCATCTGACTGATTGATCATATGGTTGAAAGAGACATGAAGAGCAAAAGCTAGGACTTGGAAGTGTACATGAAAGGATAGCTGAATCTGCTAATAGACATCAGGATATAGATCTATAATCAAAACTCCCAACAAGTTAGGGAATAAATGTGTCTTGGCCCTTCATAAAAGAAGCAGGTGATTTAATCTGCCGTGCCAGTAACCGGAATAAATGTTTGCTTTCATAGGCAACAAAAGAAAACTTTATGAGTTCAAAGAAATGAAATAGCTAATAAAAGTAAAACTTTACAGGCACCAAAGCTCTAAAATCCCATGCCATGTTAAATGTTAAATGACTAATAGTACTAATTATTCTATGCTGTTTGGAAGAAATATACCTTTACTATTCCTAAATCCTTCCTAGGAGTAGTAATTTTGGGCTAAAATTATCCCTTGGCTCTCAGTAATCCCAATTGACATTATCACTTGGAAAGTGTCAGGAAACTGAAGGAAACAGTTCCTGCTCCTGGTTTGTGTAACCTATTTTTCAAAAGCCTGGGGTATCCTGTTCTTTCCCAGAGAGGGAAAGGAAAGGAATTTCAGAGTGAGGATGCTGATATACTTTAGGAAGTTGCTACAGGTTACAGGCACCTCTCTGGCTTGATAGTAAGGTATACATACATGTCTAAGTGGGAGAAGAGATCTAGTCAAGGAGAAATATTGGCTTCTGGTGCCACATTGAAAATTGCAGGTCAAGTTAATAACTAAGTTCATTTGAGCTAGAGCTAACCAGCAAGGGTTTTTCCATGTTTTTCTTTTAGCTCAAACTTGGAGCAATTTTGACCCAAAGATGGAGGAGAAAGCGGGAGAATGCTCAAGGAGAGAAAGAAAGGTCCCTTTTTTTGAGGTTTGGGCTTCAGGTACCCTTGTTATGAACTTCAGCAGGAGTTATACTCTGGCATGTTGCCCCTGCAGGATGAAACCACTGAAGGAAAGGTCACTGTGAAAAGGTAAGCCACAGACTGGGAAAAGGTATTTGCAACACATATCACCAACCATGAATAAATGACCAGAATATATGAAGAATTCCTACACATCAGTAAGAAAAAGACCAACTAATCTTTAAAGTGGGCAAAGATTCACTGGTGCCTTTGGAGGAGAAGAAAAAGAGGCATGTTTGGCCCAGGTCTGCTGGAAAATGCTGGTAAGCATGAGTGCAGAGATCCAAGTGTCTGCACCAATGCCACAGAACTGGAGTAGTGCCATGCCCAAGACCTGGAGAGCACATGGGAGATGTAGCTCTGTGTAGGTTAAGTACTGGCCCTCAAAGCCAGGGCTGGCCTGGCCACTATGCTGCGGAGAGGCAGGGCACCCTTCCTGATCCCCAACTCAGTCTTTTCTTCAAGGCTACTCCTACAGGAACACTATTAAGAAGATCTAAATGATGATAAACTAGGAAAGTACTAACATAGATGTGGCTTGGCCTTGTTCCTGACTCAGATAATGTGACTTCTGTCAATGTTATAGGAATTCTACCTGCTCAGTTTCTAAATAGTTAAGGTTAGATCAAACACATTCCAGAGATCAGATCTCAGCACTCTAAACCGTTGATGCAGAGAGCCGGATTGGAGATGTGATCTGTCGAACCACCTAATCTTCTCAATCATATTCCAAGCCCAATCATATTCCACACCCAAAAGATTTCGAGGAGAAATATAAAAGTTAATGGATGAAAAGTGCCTTCTTAAATCACCAACACTCATCTTCCCAAGATAAAACTTTATTTGAAGCATCAAGCAATATACTGAAAGAAGTGTCATGCTCAAGTAATGCTCATATTTCCATAATTGCACCTTTGATACTCTCTGCCCTCTTAAAAAAGACTGCATAGTGAGCAAAGATGAGTAGCACATATGCTTTTCTACATAACCCTATCTATATGGTGCTTAAGAAAGTCTCCTTTTAATTTCATTCTTCCTTTCTTAAAAAGCATGTTGGTTTTTTCTGGGAAAACTAAAACAAACTAGTTCTTCCACTTAGGATGCAGTTTCTCCCAAGTTATTTATGAAATAACGCAGCTGCCTTTCTCTTTAAAGGGATTCTTGTCTTCTGGAATTCCCTTTACTAGAGGATCCTCTCCAGAACGTTCTTCAATATAGTTCTTTATTTCTTCAGAACATTTAGACACCTTAGGTACAGAAAAAAAAAAAGAATATATTAGGTTATGGTTGTTTAAACTTTGTCCCTACCCCTTAATGAAATTAGTATAACTGAATACAAGCAGTTTTTAAACATTTTTTTACATATATATATATTTGTGTGTATATATATTATATATGATACATATATAAAATCTGGGTTCTGCACTCTAATATTTTTATTCTATTACTATATCTATGATACAATCTATGTAAAACATATTTCTTACTGTTGGTCGTTGGTCAAATTCAAAAATGTTTGAAAGTCACTGCATTAAATAAATCATCTCAAGCAATTTTTTTCCATTGTGTCTCATATGATTTCCTTCCTCTGCTAAAATACAATTATGATACGCCTACAATATTTTAGAAACTGAAATATAATCTTATTTGAATTTTCCATGCTAATGAGCAGGTGCAGTAGTAGATAATCCCCAAATGTTTTGGGGTGTGTAATGCCACGATTCTCACTTATGGGTGTGTGTCATGTTCTGAAATTTCACAAAATGACAGAAGCTTTGGAAAAAGCCTGACTCTGGAAAGATTGGAGTTGTCCAAATATTGCACTCTGTGTTGCTCCTCAGAATTTCTTCCTGCTGCATGAGGGCAATGATCATAATAAAAGACTTAGATTCTGAGACTTACTAGGCTTATCTGAGAATAAATTTTTTCTGCGATGGAGAAAAAATTGAATAATGTCTTCAAAAAGTCTATTCTTACAAGAATAGTTTCTTCAAAAAGTCTATCTATTCTTAAAAGACAGGTTGCAAGAATGAGTTTTAAAAAAAAAGAATAAAAGCAAAATAAAAGAAATTAGGGTCTTATTCTAATTTCTAGAATATTGCTAGTAAGAAATTTACAGTAAAAATTACAGAAGTACCAGCAAATTTAATTTAATTAATTAATTTATTTATTTATTTTTGAGACGGAGTCTCGCTCTGTCACCCAGGCAGGAGTGCAGTGACATGATCACGGCTCACTGCAAAGCTCCAGCTGCCGGGTTCACGCCACTCTCTTGCATCAGCCTCCCGAGTAGCTGGGACTACAGGCGCCCACGACCACGCCCTGCTAATTTTGTTTCACCGTGTTAGCCAGGATGGTCTCGATCTCCTGACCTCGTGATCCGGCCGCCTCGGCATCCCAAAGTGCTGGGATTACAGAAGTGAGCCACTGCGCTGGGCCACACCAGCAAATTTAAATGGAGACCTAGGAAAACTGGGCAAATGTTCCCACTGAATTAGTAATCTAAATTAGTAACCTCAAACTGTTTTAATGGTTACTACTAAAACATGTTTGCATATGTATCCCAAAATGAATATAACTTTTAACTACAAATAAGTACAGATACTGTTTTGTTAATACATCATGCAAAATTATAAAACATAAACTGGAAATTATAAATGGGTGAGGTTTAAAACTAAACAAAAATAGAAATGCTAGTGTTTTACTTCCACATCCCAAATGATTATCCTTTGCAAAAAAGTGTGGAAGCCTCTGACCTCAAATTGAAAACTAGGTGATGTAGTTCTGTGACTTAAAATCTGGCAAAATAAAATCTTTCAGGTACAATTCTTTCAGGTAACATTTGCTCTCAATTGTTGCTGACATTCAGAGAGCATACATTTTAAGTGAATTTTCAGAGTTGATAATGCACGTGTCCATAACCTAGGGTCTGTGGTCCCAAGTTAATTTATGGACAAGATTCATGCTCCCTACATTGAATCTTTTCTTACAAGGTTTTTTCATTAGGTTTCAGAAGAGGTCTGCAACCTCCAAATGTGAGTAATTACTCCTTTGATACATTTCCTTCTGTAATCAAGAGGATATGTTTGATAAACATTTAACTACAGCCAGAATGGAACTTGCAAGTTTTGTCTGGGCCTGAGTTAAGGACTGAACACGTAGCCTAGATGTTAACTATTTATTGACTGAATAATGGACTGGGCATGAGAAGAAGAATGTTTTAGTACCTGCCCTATCACTATCTATCTCTGTGGTCTTAAATGAGGAGCTCGTTAGCCTTTGTGGGACTCAAGTTTTCTTTAATCCTTAAAGTGAGGGAGATGAATGATCTCTAAGCATTCCAATGCTAGTCTAGCAGTAACAATGTATAATTCCAAGTGTATAATCAAATGTCTTAATATTATTTTTGAGATTTAGATGCCTCTTTCTGTATTTCCTAAGGATACACATGTACCCAAAGTTTTTTCTCCCTCTGGCATACACTTGAGGTTTCTGGAGGTGGGAAGTTGATGCCACAGGCCGTGTCCTAAAGGGTCAGGCTGGCTAGCAGGGAGAAATTGCTAATGAATGATACAGTCAATTTTTACATAGTCAGTTGCATCCACATCCCTGTTCAATAGTTAACTTAAAACTCTGAATAAGTAGAAGACACTTGTCTTTTTTCCTAAGTTCTGCACAGTGATACCAAATATTAAGATATTAGAACCTTGCATAGGCAATGCTGTACTTCAGCATATGAAACTCTGTTTAATATGTAACTCCTAAGGTTTATTGTGTGAACATATCTAAGTGGCCAACACTTGCTGTACCGGGAACTTTGCCATCCATAAAATGGGTCCCTTAGGGTTTCAAGAAGCATGCTTATTGAGTGGGTAGTGTAACTTCCTTCTTTTCCCCTTTAAACACATTGGTATTTTTAAAGTTACAAACCATTAACATGATAGAGGGGACATCTCATTATAAAACTAGGAAGAGCAGGGATTTGGATGTGAAAGGTTAAATTTGAGAAAAGAAATATGTAAAAAGTAAAACACAAAAATGCCTGCATCTTCTAATCATCACTCAAGAGTAAAGACTCTTGCCCTTACCAGATTCATTACAACTAGAACAGGAAGGCAAGTGAGCATATTATAATGCTTCATTTCCATTGTTTTTCTTAATTTTTTTCTAGTGCTAAACTATAATAAATAAGATCAGTTCAAAATTTTCTTGCTGAAAAGGAAAGGTTAATTATCTTTAAACAATATCTATTCAAAGACTTTTCCTAGTCTACAGGATGCCTGACTGAGTTAAAACAGGAAGAGGGATTAGTGTCTAAAGGAAGGTCCTGATGACCGGTAAGAAATTGAAGTAAAACTTACAAAACTTATAAAACCAAGACGTTTCAGTGGAGAATATTGAATACTGGGTCATATGTTCTCATTGAAATGGCAATCTCAATCAATAGTCTCTAAAACTTTTAAATTGTGATCACTAAAAAATTTTTCATATACACCTCAGTATATGTATAATTCTGTATAAATAAGTACAGATACTACTGTATTAATCGCATACTTATAAAACATAAAGTGAAAATTATAAAGGGATGAGATTTACAAATAAATAAAGATAGAAATTCTAATATTTTACTCCCAAGTTTCGGTGGACTGTTCTTTGCATATCACTGAAGGCCACTGGTGAAATTCAAAATTAAATAATGTACTTGTAAGACTTTAAAATATGGTTTTAGAAAATTTCTTTCAAATATCATCCTTTCTAGTAGTGTAAAAGATGAAAGAACCAAGTAGCTATCCACTTTTTTCCTACAAGTGAGTTTTGAAAAACAGCTGTCTAATGGAAAGCAAGATTTCTTGTCTATTTTCCCCTTCCTAGGCATCTTAAAAAGTTAGGACATTTGGCCTTAAATTCCTTATCGGATCCTAGACCTCTGCTCTACCTCCTACGATTTCCCCACATCAGCTGGCAGTCCCCAGGCACTGTCAAAGGGGTGGTGAGAAGAGAAGCTACAAAGAGGGGGAAAAACTAAGCTAAACTATTTGCTTTACTGTTACTAAGCAGGACAAACCGGACCCTGCTTCATTTCAGAGAAGGAAATATTCCGGAACAGCCAACTTACTTGTTGTCTCTGCAACTTCACTTCTTTGCGAAGCTGCTCAACTTCCATTTTCAGTTTTTCCTTTTCTGGCAAATCTTCGATGTGAAGGGCAGGCATTTTCGACCCAGAACTGGGCCCGGGCTAGCTCGGGCAGCGGAACCCCTGGAAGAGCTGCGAAGCTCGGCGCGTGTCGAAACAACTGCCGGGCCTGGCCCGCCGCTCACTCGCACAGGATGTGACTGCAGCCCTGCTGCGGTCCCCAGCTCCCCGAGGGCTCCGCTTCCTCCGGGACCCCGTCACGCCAGCGCGCCCCAGCGTCCTAGGACATGAGAACTCTGTCTTTTCTCAAGTCCCCGCAACCTAGGAGGCCTGCTTGGGTGCTAGGTTAGGGTTAACTTTGAGACTGGTTCAAAAGCAGCTTCCCGCCGCTCAATCGCCCAGCAGGGATGCTGGCCCCGGACAGGCCCTGACTCAGGACTGCCACGCCCGCGGGGGGCGGCTGGGCTAGGGCTGCCTTACTGGGGACGGCAGAAGTTTTACTTTTTTTACTCCGCGCCCCCCCGCCCCCCGCACTCCCCCCCTTTTTTTTTCCGTTTCCAAGTCACATCCGGGTTTTGTTTGTGAAGCAAGGAAAAGGAGTACACTACCCAGCAGGAAATAACTACCCTTCACCTCTCAAAAGAGTTTTAAAAATATGCTAGATATAGCTTTTCCCTAATTACATACATAGGTTGGTGCAAAAGTAATTACTTTTCCCTAATTACATATATAGGTTGGTGCAATTAGTTTTGCATCAACCTAATAAATGCATAGTGGGCAATGTGGACGCTTAAGAAAAGGCTCAAAAGAAAATGAAGCTCAGTCTTAATCCCAGAAATGCCCACCAGTGCTCTGTTGATTTGTGTAGATCAAGGCCTAATATGGGTTTACACATTTTGGGCGAGGAGGGGGCAACAGGGTGTGAATATCGTTTACAAGTTGCACGGACATTTTTTGTCGTTAAATAATCATCTGCATCCTCAGCAGCAGAGTTTTTACTTTTTTACTTTTTTCGGGGGAATGTTTTGTAGAGTGGCGCATCAAAGGATGATATAATAGAAGACATAAGCAGGAATCTTAAAGTTCTTACCAGAAAGCCTTTCTCCACTCCCCAGCCCCAAGGTTTGGGTGACACTTGACACCAAGGATTTTGAATTCCTGACTCCTGAACCTTCCTGGATGTAGGCAGTGGATTCATTTAGTATTAGTTTCTTAACTTTCTGGAAAGCAATATTTATCGCGCTGATGCTCTGGGAAGCTAGGAAAAGTGTCAGATGCGAAAAATGTTTACATGTAATAAAACTTTCCCTTTAACTATAACTAAAGTCTTGTTAATAGTGCTCAAAAGAATAGAAGAAAAATCGAACATGAATGTTAGAAACCTCCCTAGCAGTTGGATATTTCTCTTTCTTTCCAGAGATAACCTTCTGTCTCACAGAGTCAAATGCAAGTGAAGAGTGGAGGCATTAACTGAGTATTTCGAAGTAGCTGACCCTAGACACCCATGACCATTCTCTGTTTAGGAAGCAGGAGTTTTTGTTCGTTCCTAGTTTCTTACCATTCTCCGCTCATCCTCAATGAATGAATTAGAATGAAAAGAACAATGAACCACTTAATGAATACTCCTGACTTGTAGTCCCAGCTCTGCCACAGGCCGTCACTGAAAAAGTCACTTAATTTTTCTGAGTTTTGGTTGTCTAATTTGCAAAATGTACAGTAAGGCAGTGAAGGTGGTGAATCAGCTAAACTATGTTGTGTCTCTAATTGTATTTGTATGTCTATATATGATAAATCATTTTCACAAAGCAGATGTTTAAGAGCTTCACTTTCAATATTTGAAATACCAGCGTTTCCCAGGCTCAAAGTAGTTAGATCATCAGCTGAAATTTACGTGTGAATAAGCAGGGAGACAAATATCCATATCTGTCTTCTGCACTAATTCATTTTTAAAATTTTCTATTAAATTTAAAAAGTTGGTTTAAAATATCTTAAATAAATTAGTGAAAGTAATCAATGTGAATGTGACCAAAAATTAAATAGGTTCAGCCCCTAAGTTAAATAAATTGGTTAAATAAATTAATGTGTGCTTGTTCTAAGTCATAAATATAGAATTATTTTGGCTTAGAAATTTCTTTTCCATGAAATCATCTAGTTGCATAGAGGGATAAATATTTATAAGCCCCATATTGGTTCTTTGACTCTTCCCACCGTATTATGAGACATATTAGAAACAAAATACTTATTAGTCTTCTTTTTTTAATCATTCAATAGTTCCTATTCTAATATCTTAAGTAAATTGCTTAAACTGAAGTGAATTGCAAAATGTTGCAATTGCATGATCACACAGCATTCTGAAAAAGCTTTTTTTTTAAAATTTAATTTTTATTTTTTGAGACAGTCTTGCTCTGTCGCTCAGGCTGGAGTGCAGTGGCACGATCTGGGCTCTCTGCAAGCTCTGCCTCCTGGGCTCATGCCATTCTCCTGCCTCAGTCTCCTGAGTAGCTGGGACTACAGGCGCCCACCACAACGCCTAGCTAATTTTTTTGTATTTTACTAGAGACAGGGTTTCACCATGCTAGCCAGGATGGTCTTGATCTCTTGACCCCTTGATCCACCCACCTCGGCCTCCCAAAGTGCTGGGATTACAGGCTTGAGTCATCGCGCCTGGCTCTGTTTGGTTTTAAATAGTAAAACGATGATAACAGTTTTTTTTTTTTTTTTTTTTTTTTTAACAAAAGGACGTGTAGTCTTCTATGCCTAGACACTGAATTTACTTCCCAGAGAAGAACCATGTTAAGCAATTTCTCATGTATACTTGCAGAAATAATTTATCAGCAACATTCAAAAATTTTGAATAAATATATTTTAAAATTTGTTTAGTTATGTTCTAATATTTCCTTAAGTTTTTACTTATATTTTACGTATTACCCCAGTAAAAGTTATTTTACAAGTAGTATGAGTAGAAATCACTCTTTAGTAAAAATGACAGGTGCAACCAGCAAATAACATTGATTAGTTAGCCCACTGTCTTTTCACAAATGTTTTATAGAAATTAGTTAATAAAAATGAAAGTAACCATTTTCACTTTTAAATTACAAAAGAGTAACAACCATGAAATTTTTACTTTGGTATGCAAAAATAGGAAAAACAAGGTTTTGACAATTTTTCTGATTTATTATGTTGTTAAAAATCTGTATAAAGAAAAATAAAACATTGAAAGCAGTTAAACTGGAATTGAGCTAATACTAACTTGAACTCAAAACAGATCAGGATTCTAGTCTTATTTTATCTTTATGATTTTTGCAAGAAACACATTATTTCAGCCTTTTTATTTGGTATGTGAACTAGGTTACCTTTCAAATTCTGCTCTTCTAAAATTTATGGAGTGACTTTGAGAAACTGTGGCAGGAGGATCACATGAGACCAAAGGTTCAGGAGTTTGAGACCAGCCTAGGCAACATACCGAGACCTCTGTCTCTAAAAATAAATAAATAAATAAATAAATAAATAAATAAAATTAAACAGTGCATGGTAACTGTTTAGGTCATTGAAATTATGGTTTCTTTAAAGAAAGTATATTTTACATGCTCTTGGTTCATTTCATATTTGTTTTCCTCTGTTAAAACAATCATGAAGCAGTTTTCAGGAGCTCATTTGTTTCCTGTAACTACTTACCTAAGATTCCTTTTCTTTTTTCTTTTTCTTTTTTTTGGGGGGAGAGGCGGGGAGAGGGAGTTTCGCTCTTGTTGCCCAGGCTGGAGTGCAATGGCAGGATCTCCACTAACTGCAACCGTCGCCTCCCAGGTTCAAGTGATTCTGCTGTCAGCCTCCCGAATAGCTGGGATTACAGGCACGTGCCACCATGCCCAGCTAATTTTTTTTTTTTTTTTTTTTTTTTTTTTTTTCTATTTCTATATTTTGTTTTCCTGGAAAGAATAATCGCGAAGCAGTTTTCAGAGCCTATTTGTTTCTGTGAATTACTAATGACTCCTTTTTTTTGAGTGTAGAGAGGAGTTTCGCTTCTGCTGCCCAGCTGGCGGCTGGCAGATCTCCACCACTGCGTCCGGCGCTCCCCAGGTTCAAGTGATCATGCCTCTTTAATAGCTGGGATTACAGGCACGTGTATACCACATGCTCTGCTAATTTTTTTTTTTTTTTTTTTGTGTGTATATACATATATATATATACATTTTTTTTTTTTTTTTTTCTAGTAGAGACGGGTCTTCACCTGTTGGGCCAGGCTGGTCTCGCTCCTGACTTAGTGATCCTCCCACCCAGGCCTCCCAAAGTGCTGGGATTACGGGTGGAGCCACTGCATCTGGCTCCTAAGATTCCTCTCTAGGCAAGAGAATGCCAAGCTTTAAAGGATGATCTGAAATTCATGCCTAAATATCTTACAACTACTTATAATTCATGATATCAAATGATTTCTACTGAGAGGCTCACTGTAATCCTGCACTTTGAGGCTAGCAGGAGGATCACTTGAGGTCAAGAGTTTGAGACCACTGGCCAAATGTGAAATCACTTTCTACTAAAGACAGGTGTGTCAGCCGCTGATACAAAATTGCTTCTGGTAACCCAGGAGGCAGAGTTTGCAGGAGCCACATTGCGCCACACAGCACTTCAGCCCAAAAGATAAGTGAGCACTTCATCTCAAAAAAAAATAAAGTAAAATCAAATAAAAATTTAAAAATGATTTCTTCTAATAATCTTTTCTAGACACTTTAACTCCAATCACATAACTTTCTCTGATCATCTCTACTTACTTAGCTACTATTCTCTCTCTATAATGAAGTATTTATTTAGGCATTTAGGAAGTTTAATCATTATAAACATTTTATAAGTACCAATCTGCCTGTCTTTAAGCTTAATTACATTTTTATCCAGACAATTTGTTTACATATGGATAGCTCAGGTAGACATAGTGCTCTGATCTAAAATTTCACACAAAAACACTGAATCTGCATAACTGGGAGAAACTTTAATGATAGTGCATAAGTAAAGTAAAGTCACAAATGACTAAGAGAGAAATGTGTTAATTCTTGAGGTAGAATGTAGAGAGTCTCATAAGAGAGGATTTTGAAATGCTTAAACTGGGGTGGAGGGGAGGGAGATTTGCAGAGTACTAGTATGATCAAATTCTGATGGTGGAAATGCTCATAGCAGTATAATAATAGAGGAGCCTTATTTATAGGTATTAGTCATATACCATTCTGATCTAAGGGATTATGGTGCATTCAGATAACTAGTCTAATCAATTATAATAGTATGGAAAAAAAAAAAATAGCAACTAAAGAGTTAAGCTACTTTTCAAAGTCTTTACACCATAAGGCAAGAGTCATTATAATTCTTGAACTGTTGGGCTTCAAAATCGTATTCAACTAACTGGTGTTGATGCTGGTTAGAGCCATCTTCAGATGAGTACGGAATGCGCCATAGCACAATTACTTGTATCGTTCCATGAGAAAGGGATACACTTGAACACTCACTAAATAAATACTTGAACCTACAT